ATCGAGCGTTCCGTTGAACACTGCCAGGGACGATGCCAGGGACCGTGAAAGCATTGCGCAAATGGCCATTGGCACCTCGTTTTGCAAACAAAGGCAATAAGTTTGGTTTCGCTCAAAGACAGTGGCCCATGCACGAGACAGAAGGGTATTAGACTTATTAGACAGCGATGCGGTATTGTGATGGCCTGGCGCGTTGTCCACTCCCATGGTTCTTGCATGTTCTTGCCACATCATCTGCGTAAGAGGTAAGCGAGACATCCATCTGAATTGGCATTGGGCGCTTGCATCTTGCAAGTCTGCCAGCCCTTGTTGCAGATCTGGACAAGTTGTAGTAATCGCCAGTCTTTGCGGGCTCTGCAAGTAGGTGTCTCAGGCAAGGGTGGTAGGCAGCGATCAACCATGCGCAAGCAATAGTGTCGCAAGGGAGGGGTCCCACTCCCAATGATGCAGCGAAGCGCTCCGTCTGTGTAAGGCAGCACCTCCTGGCCATCTAGAGTCTCTGGCGCAGATGTGCGCACCCTGCGTTGGGGAGTTGCGTCGTGGCGAGGAGTGGTTCCATGGTATGCTGATGGCTGGCACTGGCATTGAAGCATTCGCGAGGTCATAGATGCATGGCGCTGCAGTGAAAAACACGGCCTTGCCCCAAGGTGTGCCGCAAAAGACACGCGTAGGTGGCCTGCTCACGCCTGCGACACGGTGGTAGTCAGAGGGGTAGTGCCGCTTGTAGGTGGCAGGTGCACGCTTCCAGACTTGTGTGTAGTAAGCTTTGCCCAATGACTCGGGCGACTGCAACAGTCGCACGCCCGCTGGTCCGTGTGAAAGCTAGTGCACGCATTGGAATTGGGCGCTTGCACGTCAGAAGTTCCCAATCCATGTCGTTTGCGATGCATCCCTGGACTTTTTGCTTGGTTTCCAGCACATGCCGACACGCCCGCGGAACAAATCCGTGCGGGAAACTGGTACTTCAATGTTTGGGGGGATGTCAGCTTCCGGGCATAACGCGGCTGATACTCCGCCCTGTGGTCCCTTCTGCACCAAACACCGGGACCGAGACCACTCACTCTTCTCGAAGAGTGGGCTGCTGGCGCGGCCATTTGCCGTTGCTTTGGACCCATAGGCACCCCAGATAGTGTACGAGAATGATTCCAGGCGTCGGCAATTTGTCGCTTCCTCCAAGCCTCCGTGATTGCAGCTTGCTGAGCATGCTAGAGGCGCCGCTTGATGCGACGGGCTGCTTTTGCGGCTTCCTTGCAGCTGTCGATTGCAGAGCCAACCTTCGGATAATCATGAGGTTGATCCGTGAGCCTTCGCAAGGCAACCCTTGCTTCGTGCCGTTTCTTTGCCGCAGCTGCAAGGTCTGCACCCCCATGTCTGTGCCGTTGCTTTTGGAGAAATGCCGGAGTGCTTGTGCCATGATGGGTTTATGCAATGCCTCATGCACTGCATCTGGACCCTGTGACGCAATTCGTCGATGCTCTTCCTCCACATACCGGAATCGGATGTTGATATTGAGTACAAGAGGTCGGTGATCACGTCTGGCATGACAAGCGATGAGTAGCAGCGCATCCCCGACACAATTCCATACTTCACAACACTGGATTTGGGCACGGAGTGCTAGGGGGAGCAAGGTGCAGTCGACACGGGAGGTGGTCTTACCGTCATTTGAATACAAAGTTGGGCTAGAAGGAAGGACGTGTTCTCTGGCGCCGGGTTGGCGATTCCCGCGGCGGCAGATTTGGTGGCTGTGGGCACGCTGTAAACCAGCGACTTTGTCAAGGCCGAGATGCGCGTTGCTAGGTTGCTATCCATCTAAATAAGAAGGACACAACGATGACCATGTTGTGACACCAAGTCGCACATCAACTTGCAAATCTTCTTCGACAGGTCGAAGCGAACATAATTGGACGTGCGAGGTGTGGGTCATGGGCAGCATACGATGCTGCGTACACAATCCGCTCTCGATGCTCCAAGCCAATCGGGGCAATGACTTTTTGGTTCAGTTTAAGTCATGCCATCTGGTGGGAGTCGTGGGTATCAATCGTGCTTTGGACAACCCATTTGAGCAGGGAAAGTTGGGTCCCTGCAACCGATTGCGCTGCCAAAGGCGAACCTTCCACTGGGTGGGAGATGTGAGTCCACGGACGATACATCATGCTAAAACATGTCAGAGAACACTGGAGTGGGGATGGCGAGTTGCCCGGGAGAATCGGGGCGGCAAGGTTCAAGACGCCACAGCGGGACCTCTTGGTGAGCTGGGCAGTGGCAGCGAAGATCTGAAATCAGGCATGTGCGCCGGGAAAGGCTATCACGGCTTTAGGTAGTTTGGTGGGCGCGTGGGGCGCCTAAGGACAAAAACGCCTAATTGCACAGGGTATGTCTGAACATGCATAAACCGCTAAACCGGCGAATTCTGGGAAGCATTTCACGTGTAAAACAACTTATACGTCAAATACCAGGAGTCAGGATCTGGACTGGAACATCGCTTTTCATAACCTTTGAGTAGGAGTTAACAAAACCTAAACATAAATGCTGCAGGGCACGGAACAGGAAGGTCCACAGAATATGCACGAGACGAGGCTGCTATGAACTCGTCGTAAGGAAAACACACATGTTGCATCGTACAAACAGGTTAGGGTTCATCACTCGGTATATAGAATCCCTGTCACGAGCATGGACCACTATATTGTCCCAAGAAGCGATACTTGGTGGTGTCCCTTTGGAGAAGCAACATGCCGCGTTGGGAACTTTGGGGCAGTCAGTATGAGGAATGCAGCGACCAAAAAACACGAGCGTGTAACAACAACCGCATGGGGATATGCTGGGGAGAAGCTGTGCATGGTTACTCGTAGTTTTACAATCTAGTTCGATTTAGGGTACGAATGAAAAGAGTACAGGCACATTTGCTCTTGTGGAAATGTATCAGGGGCTCCAACACGACGATTGTAGCCAACGCTAGCCGGGTGTCGGTGTGGTTGGCGTAGGATTCTTAAGGTTGATTTGCAACGTCGTTCCGTGCATGTATTAACATTTCTGTTGCGCAGCATTCTTGATGCCCCGATTCATCCACAGAGACTTACTTAGCTACACTACTGAGTCACATGAGTTTAACCATGTATATGTTTTGGTCCACAATTGTAGGTTCATAAGCTTCGCTTGGGTTTGTAAATTCTGCCTGGTTTCAAAGCTAGTTGCTGGTTCGATACTGTTACAGCACACAAACACACACACACATATACACACACACACGTGCAGACGTGCATGCGTTTTATGTGTGTATTGTTATTGTCATTGTATTGTGTTCTACTCTGTACTGCGGTGTACAGTGCTGTACTGTGTTGTATTGTACTGTATTGTATTGCATCGAGTTGGACTGAATTGTATTGTGTTGTGTTGTTTCTTTGTATTTTCTTTGTACTCATGTACTGTAATGTAATGTAATGTAACGTAATGTAACATAATGTAATGTAATGTAATGTAATGTAACGTACTGTCATGTAACGTAATGTAACGTAATGTAACAGAATGTAACGTAATGCAACGTAATGCAACGTAATGTAACGCAATGTAATGTAATGTAATGTAATGTAATGTAATGTAATGTAATGTAATGTAACGTAGTGTAGTTTCGTGTGCGTTGTGCAGTGTATCGTTGTGTAGCGTAGCGATGCGTAGCGTATATAGTGTAGTGTACTGTGGTGTAATGCAGGGTAGTGTTGTGTTGTGTGGTGTGGTGTAGTGTATTTTAATGTAGTGTAGTGTATGTAGGAACATGTGTATGTATGTATGTATGTACGTATGTATGTATGTATGTATGTATGTACGTATGTTTTTGTATAGGTGTTCATGCACGTCCATCCATGCATTTGGTCTATGAGCGTATGTGTGTGAGTACAGGTGTGTGTGTGTGTGTGTGCACATCGAGCTGATCAATTGAAAGTAGTTTTGCTGCAACTCTTGTTTGCAAACAGTGTGTGCTGTTCGATATTTTGTGGCCAATGTCTCTCAAGCTTTATCCTTCTGAACATGCATGTCGAGTGTGATTTTGTTCCCGCATGAAGGTTATGGTCGAATATGTTCTCCAAATGTATGTAGCAGCAGATCGTTCCGTACGATCACATGATGGTCGGGAGATCATGATGGTTTGGATGGTTGTGGCACCATCCGATGATGTCGTTATGCCAAGCTGCCGTAAAGAGTTTTATTTACAACAAGCATGAAAGGTGCCTTGTCTGAAGCCTCAACTCCAGGAGAAGAGCCGATCCCCGATCTCTGCACGACTGGTGACGGACCTGCTGCAGGCATGCGATGAAAATCACAGAGGAGGGTACGGCTGACCGTGAAAAGCAGGTTGCAGGAGCTCACAGAGTGGTGACCATCGAGCTTCATGCAAGCCAGATCCAGGCCGGAAAGTCCGACGAGACTACAGCGACAGGAGCTCATAATGTACCGGCTGCACGTTGCAATGAGATGTGGCCTGTCAGCTCTAGTTCTCTGCCCGAAGCAGGGGTTTGCCACGTTTCCGATTGACAACATCTATGTCAACCACTCAGGCTTTTTTCAGAGTTCAGAGAAAGCAGTGCTTTTTTGGTCCGACTCTGCCGAGGCCCTGCCGATGTTGGCGAAGGAGATAGAGCGCCTGATGCGGAAACGAGGTCCAAAATTTAACGGGTTTGATGCTTGCAGTCCAACGTCGAACGCCGAACGACTATGCCAGGTCTGACAGCCGAGGATCTTGCGATGCCCTGAGCTCCACGCTTGAAGCGGTTGAAACTACCTTGAAGGAGAGAACACGGGCGGGCCAACCGTCGCGATGCTTTAGGAGGTTTCCCGTTCATGAGCAGCTTCCTGAAGCTGACGTCATTTTGGGTCCTTTTTTCGCATGCTGTTGTTGGATCCAGCGTCGGAAAATACGACGAGGTGGTGGTCAGCCCCGATGTGGGAGGCACGAAACGAGCATCGGTCGGGGACCCGGTCTGTTAGCAAGCTCAGTCGGCCTTGGCATGGGCAAGTTTTATGCTCTGGCTACTATCTTAATTTTCTGAGCAGGTGATGACAGCGATGATGATAACGTTGTTGATGATGTTGTGGCTGATGAAGATGGTGCTTACCATTGCTATGAATCTTCTCCTTCTTCAGTCGCCCAGGGTATGGCCAAGATGCTTTGTGCGCCGTTGGCCATCTTCTCGCGGCAGCGACGTCGCCCCAACGAGCCGACGGAGGCACCGACAGTAGAGTCACTAGAGGAACAGTAGAACACTTGGCTACATATCGCCTGTTGGCCTATTTTTTGATATTCTATGTTACGTCTTGAGAATGATCTGTTATACTTGGATATTTTGCATAATTTGTATTGCATACAGTACAAAAACACGCTATCCATCATATAGTACACAGAATACAACGGATCATGCATAATGCATAGTACAAAGTGTCTAATCTTTGTTTATCGCACATTGCATAGCATCGAAGATCTATAACTAACAAAAAATCCGTAATGTCAAATATTTAGTATTGACCATATACACTATATTGTGTTGTGTTATTTTGTCCCACTATATGCGGTAGCATCATGGGCTTGGGAGCTACGCCAAACGGCCCGCAGCCCTTGAGGTGGATTTGGTTGGCGAGGTACAAGGCCGGCCTCGTCGGGCATGCTGCCTTCTTTTGTCCCGTTCCTTGCATGCCAGCTCAGCAAAGTTACACAAACTTTATAGTATGTATCAATACATAGGTACATACATACATACATACATACATACGTGCATACATACATACATACATACATACATACATAGATAGCTTGATTGGTTGCAAGGCGGAAGTCTCCCGCTGCGTTGTTGCACTGTACGATATGTGATGTCGTGCCTGAACAATTAGAATAGGTCTTTATTGACATAGTTCTCCAAGGACGATCAGGGGATGTTGTTGCTCATTAGTCAAGCTTCTACATCGAGTTGCTGTTCAGTCAGTAATTGTGGGGTTACATATTTGTTGTTGCTATTTCGTGAGCACTTTATCAGAGATGTAGTTAGCTAAGCCTAACATTAGATTGGTATCTACCTGAAGGTCAATACTTATAATATACTTTTGGTACTGTAAACTCGTATGTAAAGTCCTTGAAGTGACTGGGTGATAGTCATTCATTCTTCAATATCGAGTTACCATTCGGAGAGATGCCTAGTAGTCATTACTGTCGCTGGGCAACCAATATCTCATGAGTATAGACATTGATTGACACTAAGGCAGTATTTAAAGGATAGATCGCCGCAAGTATAGGATAACATGAATGGTTGACAGATACCGAGCATGTGAGCAATATTATTTAACGATTCGTAAATGATTCTTCGTCGGTATGCGGCTTCTGCTTTTCGTTAGTCGTTCAGTTTGATTAACCCGAATATTTGGTTTGTGTCTTTTGTTGTCTAATATCTGGATCATGCAGTTGACTTCTTGTGACTTAGTATGTAACGGCACTCTATCTGCATTCTATTGTTGTCCCCTTAGTGGTTGGCACGTTAGTCAATAGCTAGCAGATTGAGTCGGAAAATAGCTACTAACAATTATGATTGTATTTTCTACATTGTTAGTTGAGCGAAAAGTTACTTACAGGCTAATTAAGCTCATGTTTTTTTAACGAATGTTCTTTCAACGCATAGCTGGTTAGTATTAAAAGTTACGAAAGCTGAATACTGAACAAGTCTATTTCGCACAGTGTTTGCATGCTGATAGTGGTTGGTCATCGGATGGAAGGTAGGTATTTTCGCCACATTTAAGAAACATACGCTGCGCTGTCCCCATTTCGTTTAGCTCCTCAATGAACCACCAGACCCCAATGTAACACCATAACATTGGATTTTGGACAAAATTATTCTTTGTGTGCTCTCTCGAGCTTTTGGGAGAGTCTAGAAACCCTCATGCAGGTTTTCTGAGCGCAAGAGGCGGCGCGCGGGAAACCAGCTGCGCCGCCGTGAAAAGCAGCCAAAACTAACGAACCAAAGAGCAACTAAGAAACACAAAATGACCAACAACACCGATAAGTAGAGACCCTTGGACACCTAGATACCTCTTTGCAAGACTTCCCAGATAGTGTTTTTTTGTTTTTGTTTTGTTGTTTTCTATTGTTTGGGTTTCGGCTGTTTGGTTTGATTGGTTCTGATTTTAGTTTAAATTCCGTTATTCTGGCTTTGGTTTGCGCTTACGGGTCGCCCGTCGATAGAGATAATGTATGAAGTGCTTCAATGAGGACCGTTCCCGGCAGTCAGAAAAGGCCAAAACACTGGGCACGCCATCCTGCCTAAAGCCGAACGCAGTGGGAGAGTTCCGCCCTGAAACTTGATTTGTTACAGATATATATATATATATATTTATCTGTTGTTGGCTTTGGTGATGGTGGGCGTGGGGTGGTGGTGGGGGTCGTTGTTCCGGGGTGATCGCATCCAAAGAGGTACGTTTTCGGGCAATCTGGCCATTTGCAATGGCACTGCGAGGGAAGCTGATGCAAGGTGTGTTGCATCTTTCCTGGTAGCTGCTGCCATGCTGGAAGCACTAGTAACCGTAAAGTCGTCGTCGTCGTAATCGTAGTGGTAGTCAAAGTCACAGTCGTCGTCGTCGTTGTCGTCGTAGCAGCTTGGTGCAAGTGCAAGTACCGTCATTCGTACGCAACGACAAAGACCACTGCGCAGGCAAAACCTGCATTGTCGTTGATGACATCGCGGACACAGCCGACACACTATGCCAAGCTGCAGACAAGCTGAAGGCCACGGACGGCTGCGGTCGAATCGGGCAAACTGGTGGGGATTGGAGAATCGCATTCTATCTCAGCCTGGTCTTACTGCACTCATGTTGTGAGACCAATCCGAACCGGTCCAGATACTTGTACACTGGATTGTTTTTCGGCTTCAGCTGATTGCTTTAAAAAAGCTTGGGCAAGTAGGTGCTAACATAGACAGAAGGAGCCCGCACGCCAGTGTGGCCCATGACTGTCCAGTCTTGGCTTGTGTGCAGCCTAGGCTTTCTGTCAGTCATTTGAATCGGAAATTGACCGAGTTTCTGCCAGCCTTTAGGACGTGGTCGGAAAGTGGACAGCTTTCTACAGCAGTTGGGCTGTAAACTTTTGCCTACACCAACCCTAGCACTCGTTTGAAGAGTTCGATCGCATCAAACCGTGTACTGTTGTGCAGACTCGTGCTCGCAACGACAACTCTAGCAAATCACCCCTTGGACACGAGAAGGATCTCGAGTCATGTCGCTTCTGCAAATGATTCGTTTTCTCTGTATCTGCGTCTGCATGTCGGGACCATGAAACTTCAGAGATCGAAGGCATGGCCCCGCCCTATACCCCATGGAAGGCGGACTTGCGCATTTATGCATTACGCTATTTGTGTACCACTTCTACTTCGTTATTTGCTGAGTGTTGTGCATTGTGGTCTGATGTTGCGTGTTTGCATAGATCTGTTTGTTGACGGAAACAGTGATGTTTATGATCCTTTTAGGTGATTGTAATAATGATTCGTGTGTTGTCGAGTTTATAGATCTTGGTAGTTTGTTCTTGGCTTGCATTACTTTCCAGCACTGCCTCTTACTTTCGCTCACTCACTCACTCACTCACTCACTCACTCACTCACTCACTCACTCACTCACTCCCTCGCTCGCTCGCTCGCTCGCTCGCTCGCTCGCTCACCTGCACATGCATTACAAGATATGTTTCTATTTCTATCTTGTTGTAAAGACTGGCGTTGTCGCTCTCTTTTGCCATCGCCGGCCAGGCCAGAGGTGCGTCTGCAGTCCTTGGTGCAGTGGTCCACGGCATCCTGTCGGTGTCTTGCATAAACTTAGGTTATGATACATCTTCTTTGCCGGCTGCGGCTAGTACTCGATGCATGAAGCTTCAACCCCAGCCGTCCCAGCAAGCCTGCCTCTGTCCGGCAAGGATCCGGCGTGCGAAAGCATCATGGCGTCGCAACTGGAAACCGTCTTCGTTTGAGTCTCAGCCTGCTGACACCACTTGCAGCCATTGTAGTTCTAGTCTGGTTGTCTGTTTGTCATGCATGCATGAGCGTGTCTGCTTGTGCCTAACCCTGTATCCCAAAAGGACATACGAAGCAGTTCTTGCCGTCTGTGCAACTCTGCTGTACATGCGACAAATCTTGCATCTTGATTAGGCATGTCTGTGCTTGCTTCCGTAAACATTTCAGTTCGCAACAGTCGCAAGGGGCCCAGGGGCAAACTGGATGGCCTGGGCCAACGAAGACCCATCCAGTTTTGCCGTGAAAATGTACCTGCAATCTGCAAATGTTTTGCCAGTTTCCTTTAGGGTTGATGCAATCCGAACTGTGCTTGGGAATCATGCAATTGAATTAACGGCATCATGCCCTCAACAAGGCAGGGTCGGAATTGCACTGGCAACGTTGCCATCAAAACTGTGTACGACAGGAGCTCCCTCATG